TAACAGCAACAGTAGTTAATAGTAACAGTAGGCCTAACTATTAGTAACTGTAACTAATACTGACAGTAACTAATAGCAACGGTACCCAATAACAATGGTAACCAATAGCAACGGTGACCAGTAGTAACCTACGGATGCCATCGTAGGGCCAATAAGCACCATAGGAAAATTTTGCCCCCACCCCAATCGAAATTTAATAATCAGGTTACGGCCCCCAACGCGAGGGAGGGACTTCACCACCACCCTCCGCCACCTCTCCTCCCCCGACCCGCGGAGGACAGCGGGAGGAAGTGCCCGCATCGTCGTCACACTTACCTGTAGGGGGCGCTGCCGGGCGAGCACTTGTCACCGCCGCCGTGGCCTGCTTTCTCGGCGAGTTCGTACGAGCTGCGCGCCATCTTGTATTTGTCGATGACGTAGGGAACGAGCGCCTCGCGTACGTTACCTATCACCTGACGCGTGATCACATAAAGCAGCGCGGCGAGTTGCTGCGTGCGACAATTATAAAATAATTAAAATTGTAAAATAATTAATATAAATAATTAAAATAATTATTAAAAATATAAAATACTTAAAATGATATGGTATATGAAATGTTACATATAATAAGATATATTACACAACACACCACACACACACACACACACACACATAAAATAAATAAATAAGATAATAATTATATATATATATATATATATATATAGAGAGAGAGAGAGATGAGAGAGATAGACGAGAGGTGTGAGAAGAGAGAGACGCGAGCGAGCCCGAGAGGTGAGAGAGAGAGAGAGAGCAGAGAGAGAGAGAGAGAGGAGAGGGAGGCGCCGAGGGAGGGAGGAGGGCGAGGGGAGGAGCGGAGGGAGAGAGAGAGAGAGAGAGAGAGAGAGAGAAAGAGAGAGCAGGAGAGATGAGAGAAGAGAGAGAGAGAGAGAGAGAGAGAGAGAGAGAGAGAGAGAGAGAGAGAGAGAGACAGACAGGTGCGCTGCATCTGTTAGCTTGTTGTTGTGCTTTTCATAAGCGATATAATATTAATCACAGAGAACAGTCGGTGAGAATGACGCATGAAACGGGAGTCAAGGTCAGAGCAACGACCTTGACTAAATCTCTGACGAGTTACAGCATCGGCAGTCTGGCGACAGACCGACAACACGAGCCGACCGATCTAAATTGATTATTATCGGAAGTTGTATTTTGGTTTCTTCGCCGCGAGAATCACGCGCGCGAGGAGTAGAGTTACGACGGACGCAGGTGACGACCTTGATAGAATCGTCTGGTTCCCGCAGCAACCGCGTGGCGACCGCCCACGCTCTGCCATCGTCGCCGCCGCACGAAGCCTCTACAGTTCGTCTGCTACATTCTATATTCTACATCTATATTCTGTATTTCTACATTC